CGGGAGCCTGCGGCGGGAGGGGCGGCCACAGGCACTGAGGCTGGGTGTGGAGAAAACGGGAGGGCGGTGCTAGGGTGAGACCACCCTCCCGGGGCAGGGGCACAGGGCTTAGCTAGAGGCCCCCAGCTGAAGGGTCTGCTGACCTCACGACTGCCTCCATACCCACCCTGTGCCTTCCCCGCCCGCAGGGTGGCGGGGCTGGGGCTGCACCGACAGCGCGGATGCGCTCACCTACGGGTTCCAGCTGCTGTCCACACTCCTGCTCTGCCTGAGCAACCTCATGTTCTTGCCACCCGTGGTCCTGGCCATTCGGAGCCGGTATGTTCTGGAAGCTGCTGTCTACACCTTCACCATGTTCTTCTCCACGGTATGTGATGGCGTCAATGTCTTCACTGAGTCCTTATCCATGTGGTGGGTGAGGTTCTGCATTCCCCCCCCCCCCCCCCCCCGTGTTCTCCGCTGGTTTGGGATGTCTGTACCTTTATAATACGAGGATGTCTCCAATTCACTGTCTTCTATAGCAGCGCGTCCCTCCCTTTTCATCTCAGGGCATGCATAGAATACGGTCATTTTTGTAAGGCACATTGGGGTCAATGAACATCCTGTTGGCAACTTAAAATAACCAACTGCCAGCCACTGCAGACTTTGTGGGTCTCTAGTTGTCTCAGGCCCTGCCTGCCCACCCTGAGGACCCAGGGACCTTTACCTCAATATGCTGGCTGGCCCCGTAACTCTGCTCTGCAGTGTGAGATTGTGCCTTCACCGGAGAGGTCTGCATAGGGCAGGAGACCTGCACTTTCACCTGTGTTTCTACATGGAAAGTCATCCGTTTCATCACGTTCTTTCGTGATGTGAGGGCTAGCAATACAATGTTCGTGTTCTGCATCACACTGGGGATTTCCACAACCTCAGAACATTCTTTTTTATGGTCTGAAAAGGTATCTCCCCATTTAGTAGCCATGGCATCCTTGAATTATTATGGGAACTTTAGGAAGGAAGGGGGATCTATAATTGGGTAATTGATAGAAACCTCTGGCTATTAGAATCCTAAGAAACTTTACCGATTCAACTATGTTCTGAGGCCTCATGGGAAGTGGCAATGTCCTATAAAATCCCAGCCCAAAGGAGCATATTTTGATGAAGATTAATTTAGTTTTAAACCCATCTCCTCCCATTATAGAATCTCCACAGTCTCTTCTCTGTGCCTTCCCATTCTTTCATAATCATAAACATTCATATTACAAGCGTGCATCACAGATATTCTAAGGAAAGGTAGAGGAGTGAGTCTGCTAATGTGACTTAACCTCCATGTAGACTCCCTTCCCTCCACCAAGTTCTGCATCTAGGGACCTTTTCATCTCATCTCTGGGCTCTTGGTGTCTTGTGGCACACAGTGCCTGCCTATGAGCACCACAAAAAAATCTTAGATGGACTCAGACTCTCCTCAGGTCTTGGCAACAAAGATATCACAATAACCAAAAGTGCATCTCTTTTGTTCAACATTATAGATCAGACATAGGTCCAAATTAAAAAAATAATATATACTGCCTGGCCAGCATGACTCAGGGGATGAGCATTGACTTATGAACCAGGAGGTCACGGTTTGATTCCTGGTCAGGGCATATATCTGGGTTGCAGGCTCAATTCCCAGTGGTGGGCTTGCAGGAGGCAGCCGATCAATGATTCTCTCTCATCATTGATGTTTCTATGTCTTTTGCTCTCTCCCTTCCTCTCTGAAATCAATAAAACAATATTTTAAAAAAATCCTACTGATCACTTAGGAGAAAGGGGGGAGATGTCCTGACACTGAGGCTCCTGTCATACATAGGTCCCTCCTTGGACGTTCCTCCACAGATAAGGAAGAGTAGCCTGATCCATGCCATGTGGAGAGCACATTCCGGTTTTGCTTTACTGCCCCCCTTTTTAGACCTGCTCTGACAGTGCCTCATTCTATTTTTATATTAGACACTGTTTCTCTTCTTTTATTGCCAGATGCCCTTATACTGTTGCTCACCAAATCCTCCCGCAACAGCTGTTCCACCAGCCCACTCTTGGCTGCAAGCTGATCTAATGTGCTTCACAATTAGTAAGAGTACCTCTATATCAGGAGCCTGGAGCATGAGGGGGAGAGCGTATGTGTTCTGCATTTTGCACAAGCATCCTGGGCATTGTCTCCAGCATATTCAGTTCCGGATGACTCCTCATTTCCTGGATATAATGGCAGATCAAACACAGGGAGCCTAACGTGCCTGGCATCACATACAGAGCTTCTACTTTCTGAAATAAGGCACTAGCAAAAGATCAAGAAAAATATACTGGCTCTGAGGTATTGCCTAAAGTCCTGCTATAACTCCTGTTCTTTTCCACCTGGGCCAAAATGTAGAGCTACTAGTTTTCCAGTCTTCTCAGGTAGGTTCCCTGTTGCTCCTCTTCTCCCATCTTTACTTGGTTTAGATTTATTCTGTTCCTAAGCAGTCTTCATTTAAGGACCCATTGGTCATGTTGCAGGTCAAGTACCAGGATAGCAGATGACAGTGTTCTCTGTCTTCAAATCCAGGACAGTCTACACTTGGGAGTAGTGCAATAAATTCTTATCCGGAACATAGGAACAGACATTAGGTTTGTTCTTCAGGAGTTAAAAATGTAAATATGTAAAATACTTAAAATGTAAAATATATAAGAGTTTGGGATATAATGCTTTCCCCTCCTAAATTGTTCTTCCTGATCTCGTCCCCACCTTCTTGTTCTCAACTCTAACTCATTCAAACAGGAGACTAGGTTCTCCCGTTTCCATTCTTCCCAGAAGTTCAGGAGACCCTGTTCCTGCCAGTGAAGGAACAACTTGTGATGTTGCTCAGCTCTCTCTTTTCTCAGCTGTGGACTGGATGTCCCTGCCCTCTTCCCATGCCCAAGGCCATACCCTGGAGGGCCTGGAGACCTGCCTCACCAAGGTCTGTAAGGCTACTGCTCGTTGAGATTCACAGCCCTTGTGACTTAGGATTGCCTTTTAGTAGAATGATGAAGAAACTGGCCTGGGCTGAACGTAGTGCCTATAGGGTCCCTTTAGTCAATGAGCAAGGCACTTCAAAAGCCACCTTTAGATGCCATAGCACTTAACCTTCACGCCCCAGCTTCAGTTCATCCTGGTGTTCAGTCCAACCCTGGAAACTATACCAACTTGTTTCTCCTTTCAAGAGATGCCCTCAAAAGCCATGGCTTCCAGAGGACTGATTCACAGAGATCTTAAACTTTTTTGATCCCCTAAAATCTGCTGGCATGCTTTAAGCTCAGCTCCAGTGGTTGCTTTTGATCAAGTTTACATAGGTCAAAACCTTTCTCTTCAAATATAGCATCTTAGTTTTCTTAACCCTGCTTCCATCACTATCACAACCCATTCTTCCTGATGGAGCAAGGATTATGTCAGGAGATGGGAGGAGTGAGCATGCTGTTGCGGTGTTTGTTCTTGGTCTGGAGCTGTTTCCTCAGAACTCTGTCCAGTATCTTTTCCTTGGGTGGGCTCATAAGGCAAATGACAGAAATCCTCAGAGGGATATGTGTTCCCATCATCTTTGTACCAAAGATATTCTTACAACCATACATGTTCTTAGTGTTTGGCTTTAATAAATCCTCAAATCACATAAATTTTGTAAGAAGGTCAGAGAAAAGTGACAGCAAAAGTTCCAGGACAAAGAGAACTCAGGTAACTCCTGGGTAACCTTTTCACATTAAGGGAACATAGGATGTCAGAGGCTATGATAGCATGGTCCAGAGAGGCACAGGGATGGGGACCACAGACCAAGGGGGCTGATGGTAGACCGTGACTCTTTAATTGAGGCGCCCGGAACAGCTTGATACAGTACCACGTGTTCCCTGCACCCCTCTCTGAATCTCCTCAATACCCCACTCTTTACTGTGTTCCCCACAGTGTAGGAGAGCTGGACACTGTCTCATCCCCATATTGTTTCCCATGGTGTGAAGACCATGTTCTTCTCCCTGGCTGTAGGGACTGCCTTTTTTCTTACTGTGTCTACCATGGCATTGGGTAGGAGGTAATGAAGAGGGCCAGTTAGCCAAACTCAGAGTCTGAGCTATCAGGCGAGACTGGGACATGCTAGGGAGGCTTGGGGTCTGGGTTGGCTAGAGTCTAGCCCCAGAGCTTGGGTCGAGGATGAGGATTGTAGATGAGACCCACAGCAAGCATGAGGAAATGGGCAAGGATTGGCCTCAGCTTGAAAGACCTGGACCTCCCTGGCCTGATGTTCTCCACAGCACATTCCAGAAGCGGGAAGATTAGGAAGGTGAGGTTGAAGGTCAGGGATGCCAGTTAACATACAGCTTATGAGGCAGAACGGGCCTCCCTGCCCTATTTTTCTCAGGAGTGGGGAGTGGGGCATTTCCCAAATCTGACTTCTGACCTCTGCTTCTCCAGCAGCAGCACATCACCACCCTTGTGGCCTCTTTCTTCTGTTTTGTAGACCTGGACCTCTCCCCCAGTTCTCTCAACGCCTGTCATTTCTTTCTCCAGTTCTATCATGCCTGTGACCAGCCAGGCATTGTGGTTTTCTGCATCATGGACTACGATGTGCTACAGTTTTGTGATTTCCTGGGCTCCTTAATGTCCGTGTGGGTCACTGTCATTGCCATGGCTCGTTTACAGCCTGTGGTCAAGCAGGTCAGTCCAGAATGGGCCCTGGGGGACAATCAGAGCTAAAGTCGACTTGAAACTCATTCCCAACCTCTCCCTGAGGACATTGCCAAGTGCCTCTCTCCATCCTGGCCCAGCCTCTAGAGTCCTGTTTCTCTAGGTGCTGTATTTGCTGGGGGCTATGCTGCTGTCCATGGCTCTGCAGCTTGACCGGCATGGACTCTGGAACCTGCTTGGACCCAGTCTCTTCGCCCTGGGGATCTTGGCTACAGCCTGGGTAAGGGTGGGGAGAGCTGTGGGTGGGGCATCCTAGCAGGACTTGGGTTCAGGGCCCTGGGTATCTGGTCCCCAATTTAAGGTGGGCTAAGACCCTTTCACCATCACTATTGTGCTCATGGTGCCCATCCTAGTCTTAGGTACCTTCCTGTCACAACCGTGGCTCAGGGGAAGCCCGAGAGTGACCGGCTCTGGCTTGGGTTCCAGGGCCTCCCATTCCTGAGCCCCACTTCTCTGCCTCCTCCAGACAGTACGCAGCGTCCGCCGTCGGCACTGCTATCCACCCACATGGCGCCGCTGGCTTTTCTACCTGTGCCCTGGCAGCCTTATTGCAGGCAGTGCCATCCTGCTCTATGCTTTTGTGGAGACACGAGACAACTACTTCTACATTCACAGCATTTGGCATATGCTCATCGCTGGCAGTGTGGGCTTCTTGCTGCCCCCTCGTGCCAAGACTGACCACCGGGTTCCACCTGGAGCTCGGGCCCGGGGCTGCGGTTACCAGCTGTGCATCAATGAGCAGGAGGAGCTGGGCCTTGTGGGCCCAGGAGGGGCCCCTGTCAGCAGTATCTGTACCAGCTGAGAGGGGCTTTGAGTCTGGCCCTCGGAACATGAACCCTTCCCAGAGCGCAAAGAGCCCTTCCTGGGTTTTTCCAGGCAGTGCGTGCGGAGCTTTCCCAGGGATGAGAGACAAGTTGTGTTTCTTGAGGACTTGGTGTCTTCCTTGACGTGGAACTCTTCCAGGGACCTGGCACACTTCCTGAAGATTGGAGCCATCCTGCAGCCATTGAGTCTTTCAGGGCTGTAGCCTGTGCAGGGCCTCAGAGCCCCCAAGGACCAGCAGTCCCTCTGAGGGCGTGGAGCCCCTCCCAGGGATACGGAGCCCTCCTGAGGACACGGATTCCCCTGGGGAGACAAAGCCCTCCCAGGACATGGCATCATTCCTGAGGAAGTGGAGTCCATTTTGGGGAAACTGAGTCTCCAGATCTTCCAGCAGCTCAGCAACTCTGGCCTCAGGCCTCCTTCCCAGAAGCAGCATCTGTGCTGGGCTGTGCTGGGAGGGCACATGCAGGACAGATGGGACTGGGACTAGGGCTGGTATCTTGAGTTGATGCAGGTGGAGTCTGGTGTGTCTCCAATGAAGTATTTGCTGGTTCTGTGCTGCCTTTTTTTCTGGGGCCAAATGTGTGGTGTGTCTCCAATGAAGTATTTGCTGGTTCTGTGCTGCTTTTTTTTTTTTTTTTCTGGGGCCAAATGTGTAGGGAGGGGAGGGAAAGAGGGACCCTGAGGAGGTCAGCATGGGTGATGGGAGCCCAGCTGAATGAACTGCTGGAGCTACTGTCTGAGGCTTCAGCCCTATTGTGTCAGGCTGCACAGCTGGGAATAGGGAGTTGTGAGTGGGTGAGTCTGTGTGAATGAGTGAGTCTGTGTGTGTGTGTGTTGAGTGTGGTACCCACACTCAACAAGGGAGGAAGCCGAGGTCCCAGAAAATTGGACTAGCAGGTACAAAGCTCAGATGGGAAGGAATTGTCACAAGAATGTAACTTCTGTTTTGAGCCCCATTTTGCCTGAGTGCCAGAAGGATCATATTTTGTCAATTTGGAATTTCTTCTCTTTCCACAAGAGTCACAGCTGCGTCCCAAGGGTTTATGTGGTGCAAAGATGTTGGGAGCATGTTCTTTCTGGTCACCCCAGTCTATAGGCACCTACCCCCTGAGACTGACATCATTCCAGCTGGCCCTCAGTCAGCAGAGCAGGTAGGTCATGCCGGAGCAGATTTCTGGTCCTATCTGTGTAACCCCTTTTAGTCCTGAGGCTCTCTACCACTTCTGTGCCACATGCAGAGACAGACCTTGGCTACCCAGACACACCTTGAAGCCACTTAAAATGTAAGTGGAAGTAGCATGCTACTTCTGAGTGGAAGCTTGAAGAGTCAGTGCAGGCTTTGTCATTTTCTCTTTTCCTATTGTCATGGTGACCAGCAATGTCCCACTAGTTGCTCTATTACTCTGAGTCCCAGAGGGGTGAAGATGATGATAGAACAGGCCCCTCCCCAGCCAACCTCTAATGGGCCTGTAGCATGAGCGAGAAATAACTCTTTGTGGTCCTAAGCCACTGAAATTTTGAAGTTATCACCATATTATAACCTAGACTCTCCTGCCGAATAGAGGTTGAGAACAGAAGCGGGACATTTTCCTGCAGAGCAAATTCCCCCCCAGCAGAGCTATGGCAGCAGCTTTTACCTCTGCATTTCTCAGGCTATAAATGATGGGGTTCAGTGAGGGTGTCACGACCCCATAGAACAATGCAATAATCTTATCCAAGTCAGGGTCCTTGGCCTTGGGCTTAAAGTACATGAAGGAGATAGTCCCATAGAAAACCACTACCACTGTGAGGTGGGCAGAGCAGGTGGAGAAGGCTTTGCGCCGGCCTGCAGCAGAGGGCACCCTAAGGATGGCATTAAGGATGAAAATGTAGGACATGCAGATGAGCAGGAGTGGGACCAGTGAGAGGACAGCTGTGGCCACCATTAAAAGCAGTGCATTGAGAGAGATGTCCCCACAGGCCAGTTTCAGCACTGCCAAGATCTCACAGAAGAAGTGGTTAATGACATGGTGGCCACAGAACGGGAGGCTCCAGGTGACAATGGACTGCAGCAATGAGTTGGCAAAGCCCGTTCCCCAGCTCAGCACTGCCATCCGCACGCACATCTGCCCACTCATGAGTTCTGGGTACCTAAGCGGCTGGCAGATGGCCACATAACGGTCATACGCCATCACGGCCAAGAGCACGCACTCCGTGGAGCCCAGTGCCAGGGTCAGGTACATCTGCAGGGCACAGCCAGGGAAGGAGATGGTCCTTTGGGCTTCCAGGAAGTTGACCAGCATGAAAGGCACGAAGGAGGATGTGCCACAGATGTCCAAGAGAGAGAGGTTGCTGAGAAAGAAGTACATGGGGCTGTGCAGGCGGGGGTCCAGCATGTTCAGCCCAATGAGGAGGGCATTCCCCAGCACGTTCACAGAGTAGATGCCCAGGCAGAGCACAAACAGGACCATCTCTATGTTATGGTGGCCGTGTAGGCCCAGCAGGACATATTCTGTCACGGCTGTCTCATTGGCCCCACCCATCTCATTTTCCCTCCTTTCAAATCTGGGCCACACAGGTGTTGGAAAAAGCTCTGGCTGGCCTGGGAGCCAGGCAACCTGAATCCGTGCCCCGGGGCAGGTCAGCCCCACCTCTGGAATTTAGTTTCACCATCTGTATCCTGAGAGACTTAGCCTGAAGGTCTACAAGCTGGCCTTCTCGGCTCTGCAGTTCTGACTCAACTCAGAGGAGATGAGATACATTCTAGTCCCTTCAGCCCTTTTGTGGTTCCCCCAGGGTGGGCTCGGGAGACAGTGGAGTAGGATTCATGTTTGATAAGCTCCGCTAGAATTTAGAGTTCTTGGCTGTTAACAGGAAACTCTAGGTCAGTGGTTCTCAACCTTCCTAATGGCGCGACCCTTTAATACAGTTCCTCATGTTGTGGTGACCCCCAACCATAAAATTATTTTCGTTGCTACTTCCTAACTGTAATTTTGCTACTGTTATGAATCGTAATGTAAATATCTGATATGCCGGATGTATTTAGGCGACCCCTGTGAAAGGGTCGTTCGACCCCCAAAGGGGTCGCGACCCACAGGTTAAGAACCGCTGCTCTAGGTCTTGACTTCGTATGGCTGAGTCATGCACATCGTTTCAGATTCATTCATTGGTGAATATTTTTGAATGCTACTCTGTGCTAGGTATTGTTTAGGTGCTGGGGCTATAGCAGTAAGAAAATAAGTGGACAGAAAGATGCCGCACCTGTCACAAGGGCTCCCTCTTCCCTGGACGAGGGGAGATGAGCTCTGTAAGGCAGGAGGGTGCTGGATGGTGCTCACCGAGTGTTCCTTTTGGCCCTTAAGGGCTGAACATTTCCACTCACAGGGTGCGTAGCCTGGTTTCTGGTCATCACTCCTTAAGGAATCATAGACCCTCTGCTGATTTTTAAAAGAACAGCATATCCCAGTAGAGCCACTGGCCACAGGATTTAATCCAAGTAGCTCCTCCTTGACCTCCATATTGCTTTTTAGGATAAACGGGACTGGCACGGACGCCACACAGGAGGGAAGACCCGGCTCTCATCTCGCCGAATGGTCAGTCACTGACTAGTTTATACAGGGAGGGCGGGCAGAGGCTGCAGTCTTCGCCCAGGTGCTTTCATTGCTGTCCTGGCAGGACTCACCGCCTCCTTGGGAAATGCCAGTGTCAGGTACTCACAGGAGGAAGCAGAAATGTCCCCAAGGCAGTCTTGTTAAACAGCAAAGCTGCCATATGGCCCAGGTGACCTCTGGTCTAAAGGAGAAATAGAAGCTGAGTGTGACTTCCATTCAGAAGATATAATCAGCCCCAGCCCCTTCCCTCTGGGATTGACTGTGAGGCCAGTGTCCTGGGACAGCATTGGAGCCCTGCCTGTCCTTCAGGGATAGATTTGCCCCCCATCCTCCCTCCTTAACTGCATCTGTGTGTAGGCACAAAGGGGCTCACCCTCTACTTAGCAGACTTTGTTTTTTTTTTCCCAGTGCTACATCTTTGCCCAAGAATTTTCCTTTTGTAGGCATGGCCTCCCTCCCTTCCCCAGTGGGGGCATTCCTGCTCATTCCTCAGAGCCCAGCTTAATCGCTCCTTTCTTCTCCTGCCAGCTCCCTGCAGTCACCTGCTCTCTTCGGATGCTTTTAGCCCTTTGCCATCCCTCTGTGTTCATGTATGGTGTGCTCTGTACTGTCTCCTCTACTGCACTCGTGAGCAGGACTCTGTCTCCTTCCTCTCAGCACTTCCTACAGCGAGTACTGCCCAGAGCAGTCACTGAACAGATAATCAAGATTCGAAAAACTTAGTTTTGCATCCAGCGTCAGCACTAACTGTGTGATATTGATCAAGTCACTTGACCTCTCTGAGACTCAGTTTCCTTTTGAGAAATGGGGATGCTGAGTAGCTCAGAGGAACCATGCATGTAAAGGTGCAGGGAGCTGCCCAGCACTAGCAAGTTGTTACTGAGGCTCCAGATCAAAGGATTTGTCTTCAGCCATAAGTACCTGTTGGGCTCGGCACCAGAAATCAGGCTTACACGCCCTGTGGAGTGGAAATGTTCGACCTTTAGGTCAGTGTCTGTCATGACCCCCTCTCTCCCCAGAGCCTGCGCTGGTTTCCTTATTCATCCATCCTGAATAAGGGTGATATTAAGGGCATTTCTCATGTTACACCCCCATTGTAGGTTTCCAGGGGGCTCTGTTCCATGTCGTCCTCCTCAGAGACCTGGCTGATGGAGGCTCCACTATCGGAAGCATCACCAGTTGGTATGGCTTGGGAAGAACACACTAGAGCAGCGGTTCTCAACCTGTGGGTCGCGACCCCTTTGGGGTCGAACGACCCTTTCACAGGGGTCGCCTAAGACCATCAGAAAACACATATATAATTACATATTGTTTTTGTGATTAATCACTATGCTTTAATTATGTTCAATTTGTAACAATGAAATTGGGGGTCACCACAACATGAGGAACTGTATTGAAGGGTCTCGGCATTAGGAAGGTTGAGAACCACTGCACTAGAGCATCTCATACCAGCAGTTAAATGCTCTGACCCAGTAGAGGTGTGTTTCACATCCACCCACAATCCACTGGCCCTGTGTAATCCTACCACATGCTCAGGAGGAGGAGAACTGGAAATATAGCTGAGTGTTTGGGTATGATGACTTCCATAATACACAGAAAAACACTGCATCTATCAGCCAGTGCCTCACTCTGTCATGCCCTGGAAAATCAGGTTCACAGAGAGATAGGAGTGTCTCTGAGGTAGTTGTCTAATTCCACTCCCCAGATTCACCCCCGGAGAGACAGGGTGATGCCATGAACTGGGACTGGGAGTGAGGGAACTGGGTTGATTCTTGCCTTTCTTCTGGTTCTGTTCTATGACCTTGGTCAGATTTCTCCCTTGGTGAAATGGAGCCATTCACTTAGGCAGTCTCTGGTACTCTGTAACCTCCAAACATTTCCTCACATCCTTCCATCAACTTCCCAATCATGAAATCTAACAGACCCAGGGTTATTTTTCAAGGTCAATATCAATTTCATTAGGTGATAAATTTCATACTTACTTTAGGCTTCACTAATTATTTTATAAGAAAGGTGAATGACCCAGCAAGATGAAAGCTTGGTTTTCAGTTTCCCTGACACTCGGGATCTCAGATTCCTGCATCACTTCCTCCTTGCTGTATAGCAGAGCAGGTGAACATGGGGTTTGGAGTCAGACTGACCAGGACCCAAATCCCAGGTCCCACTCGCTAACAGTTCCCTCAGCCCTACCTTCCTTACCTGTAGTGCGGAGATAAGAACAGTATTTCCTTGTGAGGTTATTGTGAGGATCCAGTGAGATGATGCATGCGAAGCTCTCAGCACAGAGCCTGACGCATGGTAAGGCATCAATGCGTGGTAGCTGATATTCTTAGTATTATGTCCTCTTTCCCAAGCAGATATTCTGATTTTTATATGTTTAAAAAAGATTTACTGAGAGGAGTCAGTATGTTACGGATTCTCCTTACCTCCTCCCTGTTGGCCCAGTGGCATTAGTGCATGCGGGTAGCTGGAGTGGGCTGCCAGGTGAGCTGGCCCAAGAGCAGAGCTGGGAAGTGCCGAGTTCATTACCAGCAGACACACTTGTGCAGGGATGGGCCAGGGCCGTGCCCACTGGGACCAGCCTCCTGATACCTGCCACATAGACAACTTGTCTGCTCCCTGCCTTCAGGGACTTCGCAGTCCCTGCCCAATTTAAAGTTCAAACCCTGCAACTACACAAGATTGCAGGCTTGGCAGCTGTGGGGCTTCAGAGACCCCAGGCTCCGTGTGCTGTCCCTGGGAGGGGGTTGGAGCGGGCACAAGAGAGACACTGGACAGAGAATCTGAAAACTGGGTCTCATTGCAGTCCTGCCCTTTTGGGACTGAAGGTTGGGGACCATGGCTCCCCTGCCCTGGACCTGGGCATACTGGTCTGTGAAATGGCTGTCTTCTTCCAGGATTGTTGTAAGGACCTGGATTCATGGAAGTGTAAGAAAAGCAAATTGCTGTATGGGGTATGAGATCCCAAGCACTTGTGAGGGACCATTAAGTCCGGGATTTAGCCAGGTGCCTGAGGTCTATGGGTTTCTTTCCCCCTTCCCTTCTCAATCCCTTCTCTTTCCTTTTCTGTTTCCTTCCCACAATAAAAAATAAGTTGACACAGTTTAGGGGCTAAAAAACAGTTTTAAGTAAAGCAGCAGCTGATGCAAAATTTTTCCATTATACTATGATTTGGCTTTTGGAATTTTTATCAAGAATACAGGTGAAGATTGTGACCACTTAGTTTTTTTCTTTTAAAGTTATTTTTTAAAAATTTTATTGAATTTATTTGGGGGACATTGATTAATAAAATTATATAGGTTTGGACTCCGCCAGGATTTATTTAAACATTCTCCTATGGTTGGACATTGAGATTCTTACAATTTTTTGTTACTATAAACAATCCCATGATTAATATTCTTGTATATAATTCTTTGTGCCTGTAATTATCTTCTCAGACTTATTCCTAGAAGTAGAGGTGTTGGTCAGAGGGTCTGGAAGTTTTTAAGTCTCTTGATTCATACTCCAACTTACTCTGCAGGAAATTCATATCAGTTTATTCCCATTCCCACCAGCAGTATATGACATTACCTACTTCAACGCACCTTAATTAACAATAGACATTTTAAAAATTCTTTGCCAGTTTCATGGGTGGAGAATTGTATATAATCAGTGGCCTTTCTAACTGTAAATGTGATTAAAAACCCCCAATGCCCACAGGATGAAGTCCGAACTCCTATAGTGGCACCGAAGGCCCCGCAGAACGTCTTGGCTGGCAGCCTTCACCCTGGCTTGGTTGAGAGGGTTGGGGTGCAGGAAGCAGGGTGCTTCTCTCCTCAGTGCCTCTGTTCTGACCAACAGAAGCAGAAAGAGGGACGGAGGGGAACGGAGGGCTCAAGCAAGGGCTATGCTTACCTGCTTGGAGGCCAAGACCAGCTCTCCCGTCATACAGATGGTGCCTCTGAGGCCAGAGCGGGCAGGGAATGGAGATGCTGTGAGAGTCGGGGCCCACTTCTGTGTTCACTGAGCTCTCAGCAAGGAAAGCTGGGAAGAGGCTGAGCACCGGGAAGAGTCGGCTATGGCAGGATGTCAGGGGGATGGGACGAGGAGCTGTAGAGCAAGCCTCCCCAAAGCCAGGTGAGGCCTGGATGCTGCACAGGGAGGTACTGGCAGCTGCTGCTACTAAGGGAAGATGGGGGAATCCAGGCCCTGGGCTGCTCCAGGTGACTGTTGTCCTGGCAGCTGGGCAGGTCTGGAAATCTTGGACTTGAGGCCTCATCACTGCCTCTACTGTCATCTCCCAGGGGCTCTAGGTCTTGCC